TTATCCTCTATATGTAACAGATCTGTGTTATACATGGTTGACAGGCTATATTTTTCTACATCTATATAATGATGTTTGGGGGGTGTGGGTGGTGGTAAAATAAATGCATATGCACACACTGACACAGAAAGCTCCAAAGACTCAAATACACCTTATCCTCTATATGTAACAGATCTGTGTTATACATGGTTGACAGGCTTCTGGGGACAACATGTGCCATGGTCGACAAGCTTGAAGGGGCTTGAATCCGAGTAATAACTGTTCACAGTTCTGTTTTTTTATTATCTTTTTTAATTGATCTTAACTATTGGTAGCTTTAAAAATGTCATAACTGTGATTGGTAGTCTGACACGTCCTGCCCTGCCCTATATTAAATGGCTTTATTTTATGAGCTATAAAACTCTAAATAGATAATCAATACGTGGTTGCCATACTTCGAGCAGCCTTAAAAGGCTCATAAAACCTTTTTGTGGCTTGGATAATGGCCTTGAATAAATGCAAAAGTGTGGCCAAAAATGCCTTTTTATTTCATTAATTGTCCATCGAGAGGAGTGGGATTAATAGGCTCAAGTATCGACACAAAAAACGAGGGAAGTACTCATCTTTAGGAGCCTGCTGACTTGGATATTAAAGCATTAGGACATTACACTCTACTTCAACTCTGACCTTTGTTTCCCTCCGTGTCTTTCCTTTTTCTGTTTGTGTTTCAGGTGGTTATGATGGGTTCATCCATAGACGAACAAGATCAGATGTTGTTTATCAGCACAGATGAGGGATCCTCCTTCCAGCGGCAGTCTATTTACTTCACTCCAGAGACGCTCATCTTCCACCCAAAGGAAGAAGACAAGCTGCTGGCCTACTGCAAGGATGGAAGGGTGAGTTTTACAGTGACTTGCAAGCATGAGGACTTTCAGTGTTAATGTTAATCCAGCATAGCTGCACTCTGTGTGGCAACCTATTAAAATAAAATTTACATTTACATTGTGCAGCTTGAAACCATCTGGTTCCCCCTTTGATGTGGTCTGCCCTCGACTACTAAAGGAGGTTTTTCCTACTCTGGGTCCTTCTATTCTCACCATTGTGAATAGCAGTTTATTCTCAGGAGTGGTGCCAAAAACCTTTAAGCATGCTGCTGTTCAACCTCTGCTGAAAAAAACCTAACCTTGACCGCTCAACTGTATCCAACTACAGCCCTGTCTCCAGACTCCCATTTGTCTCCAAACTATTGGATAAAATAGTTGAGTCCCAGTTGAAATGCTTCCTAGAGCATCACGCCATCTTAGAGCTATTCCAATCTGGCTTTAAACCTCTCCACAGCACTGAAACTGCCCTTCTGAAGGTTTTTAATGACATTGTCCTATCTACAGATACTGGTAGTTCTGTTCTGCTTGTCCTTTTGGACCTTACATTTGCTTTTGATACAATCAACCACGAGATCCTCATTTCTAGGCTGCAGCAGTGGGTGGGCATCACAGGGTCAGCCCTCAATTGGTTTAGATCCTACCTAGCTGACAGATACTGTTGTGTCTCCATCAGAGATTTTAGTTCAGCATCTGCAGCACTTAAATGGGGGGTACCGCAGGGGTCCATCCTTGGTCCCCTTCTATTCTCGTTATATCTGCTGCCACTAGGTGCTATTTTCCGGAAACACGACATACCCTTTCACCTCTACGCCAATGACTGTCAAATTTACTTCCCCCTAAGACACAATGGTACACACTCTATTCAACCTCAGCTTGACTACCTGGCTGACGTCAGAGACTGGATGGCTTTAAATTTTTTAAGTTTCAACGAGAAGAACTCTGAAGTCATGTTGTTCCCTCCCAATGACACGATCGTCAACCACTGCATCGACCTTTCCGCTCTAGCCCCGTTAGAGAAACAACGAGTCACTAATCTGGTAGTGATAATGGACCCTTCCTTGAAACTTAAAAGTCATGTGAACATGATTGTTAAATGCTGTTTTTTCCAGCTGAGGTGTCTGTCTAAGCTGAAGCCCATATTGTCCAAAAATAACCTGGAGACAGTAATACATGCATTCACTACATCCAGATTTGAATTCTGCAACTCGCTCCTGTTTGGTATCAGTCAAACCTCCATTGCCAGACTACAACTGGTCCAGAATGCTGCAGCCCGATTTTTAACCAGTACAGGCAAAAGAGAGCATATTACACCAGTTTTGGCCTCCCTGCACTGGCTACCGGTTAACCTTTGAATCTAGTTTAAAATCCTTCTGTTTGTTTTTAAATCACTGAACAATTCTGCCCCCTCCTATCTCACTGAGCTGCTGCAGCCGTATGTCCCACCGCGTTCTCTGAGGTCTGCGGACCAGTTGCTTCTCTCCGTTCTAGTAACCCGTCTTAAGCACAGAGGTGACAGGGCCTTATCTGTCTCAGGCCCTAGACTATGGAATGAGTTATCTCTACCTGTCAAGACAGTCCCTCACAGTTTTTAAATCCCACTTAAAAACTTACTACTATTCCCTGGCTTTCAATACTGTATGATTTCTGCTGAACCTGTATGCATCACACTGCGCTAATCATTATGTTATTGTTTGCTATTATTTTGTTTCTATATTTTGATTTTACATTATGTTATTTCAGTCAGGTCATCTGGCCAGTTTCTTTTTTTGTGTGTTGAAACGTTTCACCTTCCATCCAGAAGGCTTCATCAGTCAAGGTAACACACAACACAAAACTGATTCTTCCCTCAACAGCTTACTCCAAAGTGGAATAAACCAGTTATGTTGGTGCTAAGATGGTCTCTTTGGCACGCCCCCTCCTCCGGAGCCGGCCATCTTCCTCGTCGACAGTCATGTCAAACTGGTTCAAAACCAACAAAGTCCATACTCAATAATCCAGGTATACAATCCAACAATTTTCAGTCAGGTTAAAACACCTTTTTCCACTTTGGGAGTGTGCTGGTTATGGGACTCTGTTTGGTGCCTCCTCAGATTTTAAGAAGTCCTTTGGATGAAGGATGAAACGTCTCAACAAAAACATTATGAAACCATTCAGATGACTGACTGGACATTGCTGGATTTTTACCTGGATTATGAGCATGAACTTTGGCATTTTGAACCACTTTGGCATGACTGCCTCAGAGGAGTGGACAAGGGAGAAGGCGGGCCCCAGAGGCCATCTTATCACCAGCAAACAGTTTTTTTTTTTCTGCTATGGGAGTGTGCTGTTTGTGGGAATCAATTTATTTGGTGGCTCCTCAAATTTGAAAAAGCCCTTTGGATGAGGACGAAACATCTTATCAAAAAAATTAAACCATCCAGATGACCTGACTGAACATTGTTGGAGCAAGTACTATACTTATATGCATATAGGGAAATGTAAATCATAGGTATTTTCTCAATGTGCTTTTTCAACAAAATAGCTATTTGCCAAAACAAACTATGTTTCTACATATGCACACAGTGTTTACATATTGGTAATTTACTAATATTTGATATTTAAAATCTAAATGATGAAGCCTGGAGAGTACAGCGAAATGATGACGAAGTCTAGATGGTATTGTACAATGGAGCAGAGGCTGCTCAAGCTCCTGAGTTAAGACCACGTTAATTTGTTCTAAAGTTTTCTATGTAGGACTTATTATCGATTTCACCTGCCTTGCCTTGGCAATAACATTTGTTACGTTTATTTCAATTTGTATTACATACAGCCGAACCGAACTTAAAAAAAGAGATGATTTGGCAACTACAATGGTGCTGGTGTAGAAACTGGAAGGTTTTTAGGGACACAGCTGTCCATGAGTGAATGGACTTAGAGGAGTACACATCTGCCATCCTTGGCTACAACTGTAAGTGAGTTAATGATCAGAATCAAGCTTTACTGGCCATGTATGCTCACACATACATGTAATTTAGTTTTGGTTACAGTAGCTCATAGCTCAATAGTGCACATTAAACTATGCCCTCCCCACACACATTCTTACCTTAAAAAATTACATTATGAGTACTTAATATTAAAAAAACTGGGTAGAGCAGTTGTCTAATAGTAGCAAAAAGACACATACAACTAAGTGAAGACTCTACAAACACCCTATTTACAAAGCTAGATTAGCAAGGTTAGGTTTTAGTTCAACTATTCAGGTGTTGGCAAGTGGGAAAAAACTTCTCTGTAACCTGGTTGTCCTGATCCTCAATTAAATAAAATGGCACCAGAACAGATGATGTCCAGGGTGTGAGGGATTGGAGATAATTTTCTCAACGTACCTCCTGGTTCAGGAGCTGTGAAGATCCAGCAGTATGGGCAACTTAATACCAATGGTCTTCTCCACACACTTGATGATATGCGGCAGTCTGTGAATATCCTTTTGGTGGCTGAACTTACCCGCACTGTGATGGACGATGTGATGACAAACTCAAAGATAGCTGTGTAAAACAGCACCATCAGCTCCTTAGGCTGGTTGAACTTTCTCAGTTGACAAAAAACTGCATCCTCAGCTGAGCTTGTTTGACTATGGAGCTGATATTGTTGTTCCACTTCAGGTCCCTGGTGATTGCCATGCCCAGTATCTTACAGGACTCCATAGTCATCACTGTTCTGTTGAAAACATTTAGTGCTGGAAGGACTGAGGTCTTCTCCTAAACCCCACAATCATCTCCACTGTTTTAGCTGTCTTAATCTCACGTTTGTTGTGGCAGCTCCGTGGAACAACATGATCAACAACCCATCTGTAAGCAGACTCATTACCATCATGAATGAGGCTGATGAAAGTGTCATCTGCCAATGTCATAATTTTGACAGAGGGGTCCATGGAGGGACAGTCAGTGGTACAAAAGGAGAGTAGTGGGGAGAGTACACAACATTGTGGAGCACATGTTCTGGTACTCTCGATTCCTGAGGTAAACTTCCCCAACCTCACCTGTTGCCATCTTCATGTGAGGAAGTTGGTGACCAGGTGGTTGACACATTAAGCTGGGTCAGTTTGACGTGCAGTAATCCTGGAATTCTTCTACTTTTCATTTTATTCTTTCGGCTTTTTCCTCTTCAGGGGTCGCCACAGTGAGTCATCCTCCTCCATTTCACTCTAACCTCTGCCCTCACTCCAACTACCTCCATGTCCTCTCTAACTGCATCCATATATCTCCTCTTTGTCTTTTTCCTGACAGTAGCATTTCTAACATCTTTCTACCCGTATACCCACTGTCCCTCCTCTGGACATGTTCAAACCATCTCAGTCTGTCCACTCCAACTTTATCTTCCAGTTTGTTCAACTTGTGCCGTACCTGTGATGATATCATTCTTAATCATATACACCTTTGTCACTCCTAAGGAGAATCACAGCATCTTCATTCTATCCACTTCCAGTTCTTTCTCCTGTCTTTTTGTCAGTGCCACTGTTTCCTGACCATACAAGATAGCTGGTTATCAGCAATAGTGATTGTAGCTGGAAGGCATGGAAGGCATTTAATGGCTACATTTAATTATTTAATGCTGCTCAAGAGGGGCTCCAAAATGCAATTAGTCTTTGTTAAGGGCTCAGATTTCTCTTATGATTCTAACTCTGTGGTAAAATAAACATAGGCTATCTGAGGTTTACATCAATATTTAATTTGTAAGCAATTTTTGAGCCGTTAACAAAGAACAAAAGAGTAAATTACATTTCTTTCAAGATTTAATGGTAAACCTTTGCTGCTTTGTAACAGTGGCATGATAAGATACAATAGTGACCCCGAGTTCAAGCTTGCCAATGACAGAAAATGATCCAATTGGAATAAATATGTAAGAAATGTAAGAAATATGAAGTGCTTTTATTTTGGTGAGGGAAGTCAACAGCTCCATGAAGTATCTGCGGGAAGATTGATAATAGCAGGATAAATGGTGAGGTAAACACCAAGTCTGCAGACACTGCAATCTCAGGAGGAGAGTCCAACTTAGATGGTAAACTTACCAATGCTGAAGAGGGCTCAGGATTCCAGAAGGAGAAAAAGGCGGCGAGGGACGTCAGATCAACAATCAGAAGGATCTCCTTCATGTCTTACTGAGGAGCTGACAGGTGAAAACGGGCTGGAGGTTCCACTGCAGGCAGGCGGTACTTATTAAGTGGATGTTGAAGGAGCGGACAGGCAGTGGTGAAGAGGCTGAGTGAACTTCTTATAAACCCTTTGCAAAGTGATGAGAAAGGTTTGATGAGCAGGGAAGATCACCAGGTGTCCTCAGAGGCACAAAGAAAAGGCTGTCTGGTAAAAGACGTGTTAGAAACAAAACATTTTCAGAAATGTAGTGCTAAAATAGTCTTCTGAGAGCAGGACTGATCACCATGTGAACAAAGATCTTGTCTTCAAAGAACAATCACAAACTTAAAGGTGCGTACCGCCACCTACGGTACATGAGCGTGTAACTTCACATCCTCCACCTGCAAAACACTGGTTCACTTTAGTGTTAGCTTGTGCAAAAATAAAAACGATGCTTATGATACTGGTTTCCTCCTTGTCCCCTCTGTTCCCAATATTCCTTTTTAATCTCCATTCTCTTCCTGCCTCTCTTATTTTTCCTTCATCCTCTCTTTCTCCTGCATCACATTTCATCAGTACATTTCACACTTTCTTTTCCTCCACAACTCTCACAATTATTATTATTCTTTTTTCCTATTATTTACAAAAACCATTTAAGTAGGAATGTCGTACCCTCTATCTCATCATTATTAAATCTTCCATTCTGCTTCTTTCTCCATAATTCTATATTACTAAGTTTTGTGTTTTGTAAAATTGTCTTCCTTTCTTATCTTCATTCCATCTTTTCTGCCACATTTCTCTTTTTTCCTTTGATTATTAATTTACCCTCACCTTTCCCAAATGGAATAGGAACATTCTATCCCGCTACCGTCTCAGCGAAAAGGTCGCCAGTCCAAATCCCGGCCTGGGGCCTTTCTGGGTGGGGTTTCCATGTTCTCTCTGTGTATGCGTGGGTTTTCTCCGGGTACTCCAGTTTCCTCCCACAGACCAAAACATACGTTAGTTTGATGGGTGACTCTAAATTGTCCCTATGTGTGAGTGAGAAAGTGAATGGTTGTTCATCTTGTTTGTCTCTAAGTGTCCCTGTGATGAAATTGAGACCTGTCCAGGGTGTCCCCCACCTCTCACACAGTGATAACTGGACATGGGCACCAGTAACCCCCACAACCTGAAAAGGAAGAAGGTTCAGGGTTATTTACTGTCATTCGCATCACATGTGGTACATGAGGTAAAACAAAATTGTCTACTCAGGGTCCCGGTTACACCCCAAAATAGCAGAATTATAAAGTATAAAAAAAACAGTATACAAGGATCTAAGATATATACTGAACAGTAATGATGTAAAATAATACAGTATATTAAACTATATATTAAGCAGCAGCCCGAACATGAGTCTGTTGTAAGCAAATGGGGGTAAAAAGCAAGTAAAAAGATAATGGGGATATAT